AAAATGCACGGTTTTGGCGAAACATAGAGTGGTGGTTGACTACAGTTCATTGGATATATCAGTATTCTGACAGGATAATCGTGCGGCGGCGGGGTTGTCTAGGCGTAGCTAGCATGGGATTTCCTGATTACAGTAGTGGCATAGCTTCTGCGGAACTGTAATTAGTTTGTAGATTGAGTTGAATTTGTTCATTTTATGCTGTTGAGACCTATGGATAGTAGCGGTCTCCCTCTATTCCAGATTACGATTCCCTTGGGCGAGTGCTTCCAATTAGTTTTTTTTTGGGTCTGGAATGGACGAGAGACAATCATTAATCAAACATTGAACATTCTCTTCATGTCGTAAATTCAAGAATCATTCGTTCGTAATCTATTACGGCTTTATTGCTTGGAATGGAACTGCTACAGTAGACCAATGAGCGCGTCGTAGTGATTGATGCCTCTTTTTCTATGCCCATACGCTGCGCGGCTATCCTGCTGAATTACCCTGACTGTGACCAATGTCTTTTCTTTGGTCCCTATCCAAGTGGGACTTGCTTATTTCGAGTCTTCTCAGTTCTTTTTGGGGTAATCTTTTTGTGTTTCTATAAGCCGCTTGATATTCAACTCCTGGAAAGGTTTTGGGGTTCCTAAATGTCAAGGTACCCCAAAAGGCGTTGACATTTTTTGGACTGACCTGTTTTTTTTTTATGGTTTTTTGACAGCGTCGAGCAGAAAACGTCTTCAAGCGTCTGAGGATAGGCAGGGTCCGGTATGGTGAGGACTAAAGGGCGTGGTCACGAGGACGCAAAAAGGGCGCGAACTTCTGTCTCCGGGCACCGGGCTCCTTAACCGAGGTTTTGCCCATAATTTAGTGATCTTGTCCTAAAACCACCGGGACCTTGTGTAGCCGAGATAGTTTGACTTCCCCCTGTCCAACCCTACAATCTCGATCGTTGAATTTCAGTGGAAGGTGCACGCGGCCTGTATCTGAAGAATCATGTCACGTTGGATGCGTACGCGACTGTTGTTCTTCACGGGAAAGGCTCCATGCGTAGTCGTGCCATTACAGAAGTGGTGAACACGGATGGTGATTGTCGATGGGATGAACATTGTGAATTGTAAGTGCATTATCACTCTTTACCACTCATTACAACATATTACCACAACTTATCACCAATATTTAGCAAAGTGACGGACAAGTCTACGCATATAACGGTGACCGTCCAGAGCAAAACGAAATTTGGCGGAGCAGGTAGGATTTGGTGCTTTGTCTGACATTAAAGAAAAAGCAAAGTAATCAGTTGGTTATGTGAATTCAAATGAATGAGTTCCAGAGGTAATCGGTAAATGTGAAGTTCCGATTGATCAAGCAAAAAAAGTAGGTGGACATATGTGGTTTGCACTGAAGAAGAAACGGGACGACAGCAAATACAGGTGGGAGCTGTGGGGATACCCACATGCTGATTTAGTGGGAATTTGAGTTAAATTCCATTTTTTTCAGAGGCGAAATCCAGTTGCAATTCACGTTTACCTATGAGAAGCCGTCACTGTCTGTTTCAAACACATCCTTGAACAAGATAGAAAAAGGTATTTAATGTCTACCCTTTTTCCGATCATTTTTCTCTTTCTATCATTATTTCAAGTATTTTAACAATATTTCAGTATTTTAACAAGATACCAAGGAGAATAGTAAAATCATGGATGAAAAAGTGGTTTTTCGAGCGCTTCCGAGCGCGCTCAGGAACGATATGTGAAAGAATATATCTGGGTCCTTTCCTTTGAGATGCGCCCCATAAGCTTTCATATGATTTCGTTGCTTTTTCGGTCTTTTCGTGATGTTTTTAGGTATTACTCAGCTTACCATTGAAATCTTTTATGGGGCAGGTTGACTAAGGCTTGTTTTTGGACTATCGATATGTTTTCTAAATAAGTCGTCCCAGCAGTTGGAGAGCGGCGATTATAGAACCCTCTTTCAATAGGTATCGTTCGGAATGTAGCGGCGTTGGGAAGAATACTGAAAGATAAGGGAGGATGTTGGACTGTGTTTGTCAGGACTAGACGAATTTCGAATTTTTCAATCTACTGATATGTCAGCCTGTGAATAATCCAAGCAATGCACTTGGAACTTCATCACAGCAATGAACATCATCGTACCATTTATTGGTGGGGT